AGAGATTACAATATATATATATATATATATATATATATATTCAGAATCATAAATTATCATGCAAGTTGGACATGTTTGAGGCAACACTTGAAAAAATGGGATAAAACAAACGCTCTTACGCTATCCCGCGGAGAAATCTTATACTGCATTTTAACAGGCAACTCAAATCGGCCTCTGTTGCGCAGTTGGCCCCTCATAATCTGCATCCGCGGTTCATATTACCATCACCGTCCCCCTACTTAAACCAGAGAACCACGAAGGGACAAGTTCGATGCAGCTCGCTTGCTCTTCAATTCAAATCCGACCAAATTCTCGGGGAAGAAGAAGATGAACAGATTTGATTCATAAATGCTCGGATCTTTTGTTTGCTGATCGGATTCGCTTGCGGAGGGGAAAACATAACCGGCCTTCGATCTCTTCTCCAATTCAATCGGAATCCTTCAGTGATGGCTGTAGCCACGGAGGCGCAGTTCCATGTTCTTGCAGTAGATGACAGTCTCACTGATAGGAAGCTCATTGAAAGACTCCTCAAGACTTCGTCGTTTCAAGGTTTTTAATGGAGGAATAATCAGTTGATTCTGTTTTGCGTTTTTGAGCTGCTCTTTTAATTGTTTCTTTTGTTGTGTTTTAGTGACGACTGTAGAGTCGGGAAGTAAGGCGCTTGAGTTCTTGGGGATCCGAGAGGATCAGGAGAGGGCTTCTGCTGCTAATTGCGCGCATGTAAGGGTTTGCATGTCTGTTGGTGTGATTTATGGAGAGTATTCGGGGATTTTTTCTAGGGTTTTGGACTTTTATCAATTGATTCGATTTTTCTTGTGGGTTTCAGGAGATCGAGGTGAATTTGGTCATTACTGATTATTGTATGCCTGAAATGAGTGGGTTTGATCTGTTGAAGAAGATCAAGGTGAGTTATCTTGTTTATTATTTATTTTTATTGTTATTGTTAGGGGATTGTAACGAATTAGTAATCATGAGGCTTTAAATTCTGAAATTTTTTTATATTTTAGATTTTAAATTTTATTAGATCATTCAAACAACAGAATTCATGTCATGATTTTTTTTTATAAGTTTTATGCTGGGATAAAGGGGGGCTGTTGTAATTTAGTAAATTTATTCAGGATTTAAGGCAAAACTTCTAAGAAGAAATTGTGAAGGAATTAGATTTACTGAATCTTGGATTTAAAATTGCCAATTTTAACAAAACTTCCTCTTGCATTTCAAATTGCATTTTAAATGCTAAATCTTGCTCAATTTTGATAGATTGTCAAACTTTTTTGTCTTGAATTTCATTCTCTAGAGGAAGATATACCTAAAGGGGATTTTTTTGCTGCAAGTAGGATTTAGTAAATCCAAAAATCGTAAGTCCGTTAAATTCACTCTGCCCTTGAATTTAATAACTCTAGATTTAAGCTAAATTGAAGGCGAAATACGTGACCCCACTCTAAGGGGGTGTTTGGTAGCACGAATTTACAGGATTTAGTCTTGAATTTAACATAAATTCAGCCAAAGATAAAAAATGTGAAATTTAAATCTTGCCCTCTATTAAATCAAATTAAGGTTTATATTAGTGGATTCATCGTAGTAATAGAAATAACAAAACTTGAATGGATGAGCTCTCATAATTAATGAGAGATATTATGGAGAGATATCATGATTGAAAGATCTCATTCATTATATTCATATAATTCCATTATATCTTATGTGAAATCTATAAAATTCTTTGGCGATTCGGTTCATATTTTCCTTTTTTGAATCCTCTCAGTAACTAGTAATTGTCATTCTCTTCGTCCATCTGTTTTTAAACTTGAATCCCGGGCTTTATTCCGCTATGGCTCGGGAGCTTTTATTTGTCAAATATGGATTTGATAAATCCTGATTTACTAAATCCTATTTAACGTAAATCAAGCACGCACGCAAACACCGCAAGAATCCGAAATTTTATAAATCCACGGAGCTCACATTTTAACTTTTGGCCCAATTTAATAAATCTGGTGATAAATGTTCTTAAATGGCACTACCAAAACACCCCCTAAATCTATTAAATTTTATGAACAATGAGATTCATTAAACAATCTTGAATTTGATCAATCAAGAGCTAAAGTGAGATTTTATTTAGAAATTTATTAGAAAAAGAAAAGGCTGCATGTTGCAGGCAAACAGCTCTTTTTTCTCATTTGGTAAATTTTATGGGGTTTTTTGTTGGTGATTATTTCAGGAATCATCAGCTTTTAAGGATATTCCAGTTGTAATAATGTCTTCTGAAAATGTGCCTTCCAGGATCAACAGGTGAGCATTTGCTTCATTTGAAAAAATATGTATATATTTATTTGGGAATTTTGCATACACACCACATTTTTTTATGTATTTGCATAACTAACACATAAACCTTCATATTTATATTTATGACCCTTTTTTGTGTCAAATACCTATAGATGAAAATGCATATATTATTTGAAAATAAATAAAAAATAATAACATGTTTGATGTTTTATCAAAGATTTGAGTGCAAATACTCAATCCCTCTAATTTTTTTTTTCTCAAAATATGAAATTTAACTGTCTGGTATTTATGATTTATTCAATGCAAATTTAAATTATTAAATTTATTTAAAATTAAATATAAGTTTTACATATCAACCAGACATTAATATGCAGATCAACCAGCCATTAATATGTATTTGTAACAATTAGAATTAGCCTCAGTCAAATCTAGGAATGGGAATAAAGGATAAGTCTTGTCATCTGTCAAAATCCAAATATATTTTCTAGCTCTTTTCTATATTTTGTTCTGACTTTTTTTAAGAAAATTTATAAGCCTCAATTACATATCAGTCCATCTGAGACTTGGTATTAACAAATCAACCCTCCTCTTTCATCCATCTTTCAAACTCTCACTCAAATTTCATTTCATTTTTATTCAAAAAAATCACCTGGATGTATAGTTTGTAAATATCAATGTTTCAGGTGGTCTGTTATGTAATTTCTTGATATGTTTCTGAATTTTTTTCATTATTTATGCTGATCACAGATGCTTGGAAGAAGGAGCAGAAGAATTCATACTAAAACCAGTAAAGCTGTCTGATATGAATAAACTCAGGCCTCATATACTCAAAGGAAAATCCAAAGAAAATAATGGCGAATTCAGCAGCAGCAGCAGAGGCAATAAAAGAAAAGCTATTGAGGAAGGGCTTTCACCTGAGAGGAGAAGGCCCAGGTTCTCAAATAACAACCCTAATGGCTTGACTGTGCTGTGATTTTTCAGAATATTTCATAAATAAATAAATATATATTTTTTTTTTCTTGATAAAATTTCTCCTTTTTTTAATTTTTTTATTTTCCTTGTTCAATTTTGATGTGATTTGAATGTCTACATAGTTTTTTTAGAGGTTTGGGTGTAAATAATGGAGTTAATGATTACTCTTGATTTTGAGAGGAAATATTACATGTGGATAGTGTATCTGTGGATTAATGGTATTGTGTTGAGTACCATCGAATCTGCACCTATTCTCGCTCTTTTCTTACGGGCGGACGGACGGGCGGGCGGATAAGACAATAAACTTTTATAAGAGAGATTTTTTATATGATATATATGAAAGATGTTGGTGATATAAGTTTAAAAATAAAATTTAGGTGTATGATATATAAATACATAGATATTGGGTGGAATGTATGTGTATCTTTCGCGTTTTAATGAAATGATACTTCGATAACTTATAAAAACCAAAATTTTAAGTTGTAGACGTTAATTATTGATAAAAGCGGTGCCACATCGCTACTGCACTGTCGCCCCAAACCAAATGGACCCTTAATCAATCAGTAGGATGCTTTTGTTTAAAACATGAGGGCATTTTCATTCGTACATTTATAGCACCCAGATTTTGACTTCTTCATTTCCGTTACTCAAATGTGTCATGAAGTTGTGCTGTTCCATCCAATTTAATTGATGAATTCACATAAATACCCTAAAGTTTGATAATAGTAAATATCAAACTTTAGGGGCTAAATATGTAAATACATAAAAACCTTGTGGTATGTATGTAAATTTCTCAAAACCAAAGGTGGAAAATGCAAATCGAAGATTATTCAGTTTCGTAGAAGGCCACATGGTTAGCATTAATAGGCTGATGAGAGTCGTGAGAGAGCTCCTTTGAATTAGAATTCAAATCCGAATGCCTTAATGATATGGCAAGGATTAGCTTGGGAGGAATTCAATGATCTTTCAGTTGGTCTTCAGAGGCTAATAAATTTTAAGAAAATCCGGTCAAAATATTCTGACTCAAAAAATAATTTAGAATGGATCTTATAATTATGAGATTGATTTTAAAATAGTGTGATTTGTCCTTTTGTCTAAGGAATATAATATAAACAGAGAGGAATGGTAATGAATAGTAGCGCGTCGTGTCAATCATGTCTTGTTCATAAAATGATCTATCTATTTATAGGGAGATGGTATAATGTGATGATGTTATATGTTTTGCCCATGCTTTAAAGGAGACAAAACGCAATATTCTTTGTATTTTACATGTATGAGTTGATAGTCTCTGGATCGGCCAACTAAGCTCAATTGGTTTTGGGTCAGCACGATCAGCTCGGTCGGTTGAGATCCCCTCGACTGGATGGGAATAGCTTAGTTAGCTGAATTTGGTTGTTTATAAGTCGGTCGGTTGATATGACCTCTCTATTGATCCTTGACCCCCTGATTTTGGCTTCGACTGCTACAATCGATCAGATAAGTGGGGCTCATGGCCATTTGTTGGCGGGCCCTCCTTCGTCGTGGACCGTTAGATCTTTTTCATATCAGTGCTAATTTAATTTTTATATGCATATTTTAGTTCTTTCATTCTCTTACTTCTTACAAGCAACAATGCAATAATAATAAGATAATTTAATACAAAATATAGATCACATTTATTATTAATCTGTTATTCAATGATTGAACTCTCTTAATTGTTGTGCCTTTGATCCTTATAAATAAGACACGGCGGGACTTTTCACATTTTATGTTTGCTCTGTGTCCCTTCCCATTTGAATCATTCGACTTTCGAAACTGTAATGGACAATGAGTTGAATTCTTAGGGCGATATCCCCAACAAAGATATGCTTTGTGTTGGCTTTGAGAGGTCGAAGGAGCGATACTGCGAGAATGGTGAAAGGAAAAAGAAAATCATTGTTGAGAAGAGAAAAGTGATGGCATTTACGGATTTAGCGGAGTTAGCTAATTTGTTCCTCAACATTAAGCGGAGGAACACTAGGCCATCAACTCAACTATCGATTTGTCAACACAACTTTCTGCTATGGCACAAGGCTCGCAGATCAAATAGGCCACACAAGAAGCTACTGGTGCTCTGTCGCCACATGGTGAGGGTGTCATGTCACTTACAACTGTTGACCTCACTTTTGATAAGGTTAAGTTTTCTCTTAGAGCATAGGATCAATTCATAAAATTTTCCCTATTGACTATCCAAGAAGACTAATGATGGGACAGGATCCCGAGTGAAATATAGTTATGTAAAAATTATATAGTTGACTCCGCTATGCAACAGTGTTAAAATCTTGATGCAATATTTTATGAATTCAAAATTTAAGCAATTAATGTTGGGATTCTACGCAAGTATACATATCGTTATCAAGTAATAAATGACTTTCTATTTAAGCCTCAAATATCAATCCCACGGGGAATGTTTAAATTTGAAATGATAAATTTATTAGGAAATTCACAGAAAGTCAAAACAAAATTACTCTCACTAATTTCAAATGTTGAGATATTATCAGAATTAAATTATTTAACTTAATAACAAAATTGAAATGCAAAGTTTAAACAGTAACTACTAAACTATGTTTATGTAATGAAGATTTCTTATGTGAAAAAACATCTTTCCAACTACAATGAGATTTTGGTAAAATGAGATGAGATAAATGATTTTCATATGTATTGTGCCAAATATGATCGGTTTTAATGCTCTACCATGATACAATGTTATAGAAAATCATTGGCTAATCCCAGGTTTAGTCCCTAAATCCGTGGCTAGGCTAGGAGGATACTGGCTCCCACTTCAGAGCTCCCACTTGCCTTCACCTAAAGGCTAACTCTCGCTTTAGTGTTTAAACACTAAGACCAAATTAGGGATTTTAGTCTGTCACCCTAAACATTCTCCAATTTTACACCCAATAAAGTATATTTCCCTATTTATTTGCACTTAATTCCATGAACGAAATTCTCCTTCATGGAATCAAGTGTGATCCTCACTCCGTTATATAACTCATACTTCATTTCCCGGATCATATGTTTCACAACATATTTTAACAATTTAATTGGTCAGATTGAAAAGTAAATTTAGTTCAGAGTTGAAAAATCATCACAATTTATTGTATATTTTAATATTGTCACATCCATATTATCTCTTCATTTCACCATATCTGAGAGTCGGGAGAAAGGTAAAGTAAAATACTCAGACTTCATGAGAAAGATACAACAAAACACAAATTTCATATATAAAAGAAAGTTCATACAATACTAATAAACAAACAACACTTATCTGAAACTCTTTCTCAAAACAAATCCCTTGTAGCCTCTTCTAGGAAATATAGGAAGAAGAAATCTCTCACTTTTCTCATTTTCCAACACTCTTAGAGAAGAGTTCACACTTAATCTCACCACTAAACTCTAAATTATAAGAACAATGGACTCTAAATGATTGTGAAATGAAAAATGGAAGAATGTGTGATGCGTAGAAGGTTGAATTTGGGCGATGAGAAGTCAGGAAGAGTCACTTTTCTAATCAATTTTGGCCTCAAATAAAGCTTAGAGTCGGTTCTCCAATAGGTGTCTCCAAAAACTCTTCAAAAAACATCCAAATTTGTCAAATCTTCTAGAAACAGGGGCTGAACCGACATTGGCGCCATCGCCGCCCATTCTGGCGTCACGACGCCAGTGTTCCGCAATTTAATTCTCTGCACTCTGTCAGACGGCGCTGAAAAAATTTTTAACTTCTTCATTTTTGCTCCCTTTTGTTTTAAGTTTTAAAATTCAACAACATGCAATCAAACATAAAAATACATTTCATTAAAGTGTAATATCACCAAAAATGAGTATAAAATATGGGTCTGAAAATGCATATATTTTTAGTTTATTATGATCCACCTCACTTAGAATTTTTTGTCCCCCCCCTTGACTCTTTTGCGGAGTTTCACATGGGTGGTCTAAAACCTCCAACACTTGGTTGTGTTGGTTTAGACCAAATTGTGAAGCCCCAAAAAATGAGTTCCCATAAAATCTTAAGGCCTTAGGGACGCCCTTTATGACTTGGACATTCGCCTCACACCACATTCACATTCAACACACACCATTACAATTCACATGCTTCAAATATACCACATCACATACCCTATAAAAAATTCACACGCAACCCATACATTACTACAATTTACATCACCCCATACCTCCCCCACACATCACTCACTTCACACTACATGCACATTCATATCACACTACATACACATTCATCACACTACATGCACATTCACCGCACATCACTCACTCTGCCACCACATGGTGAGGGCGTCATGTCACTTACAACTGTTGACCTCACTTTTGATAAGGTTAAGTTTTCTCTTAGAGTTTAGAGTCTAGTTATAAGATTTTCCCTATTGATTATCCTAGAAGACTAGTGATGGGACCCTCCTCACTTAGAATTTTTTGCCACCCCTGGACTCTTTTACGGAGTTTCACATGGGTGGTTTTAAACCCTCAAGACTTGGTTGAGTTGTACCAACATTGTGAAACCCAAAAAAATGAGTTCTCATAGAGTCATAAGGCCTTAAGGAAGCCCTTTATGACTTGGAAATTCACCTCGCACCACATTCACATTCAACACACACCACTACAATGCACATGCACTACATACATATTCACATATACCACATCACATACCCTGTAAAAAATTTGCACACAACCCATACATTACTACAAGTTACATCACCCCATACCTCCCCCACACATCACTCACTTCACCTTGCATACACATTCTTATCACACTACATACATATTCACCTCACTTCACATACTTACACCCCTTTACACTTTACCATGCACCGAACTTCTTCCAAAGTGCCCCCAATTACCCCAAAATTCTTAAAACTACTCAAAATTACCAAAATACCCTAATCCCACCAAATTGACCAAAATCACCTAAATTTCATGAAATACCAATTTCCAAAAATTTCCTAAATTTTAAAATTTCAAACACAATTCCCATGAACCCTAAATTCAAATTCACCTTAACCCTACACCAAAATTCACTCCA